TCAAATAGATATTTTCACTAGAGACTAGACCAAAGTGATGTTTTGTGTTTTTGCATTTTGACAGATTTCACACGGAGGCAGGAAGAAGCACCTGTGAGGCGTTGAGGACCTGAACGGTGAAGCTCTCCAGTCCTGTGACGTTCCTCTTGTCACAGTTCACTTTATACGTCTTTGCTGTCTCTGTGGTGTTCGTTTCTTCAGCTGGGAGTTCTGCAGGGACCATCTCCAGAGTGACCTGGAGGTGAAACAATAAAAGTAAAGGTTCTGGGTGATGTTTTCAGCCCTTCAGTCATTTCACAGCAGCTTGTATTTCAGTTTCTGAGCTCCAGCTGAAGAACCTGCTGCATTGATTCTGCTTCCGGTTCCTCCAGCAGCTCCAGGTCTTCGGCCTGCGCAGGCGAGACGCACCGATCGCCGTTCCCATCGCAGGGGGGAGAGAAGCCTGACTGGAAGTCCTTCACGTTCCTGGGAATCAGGGATTCGATGTCAGACGGATCGATCGGGGTTTCAGTCCCCATCACCGCGTCTGCGATTTCAGCCGTCTTAAACTGCCGTCTGGGCAAAGAGTCCAACTCCTCCGACTCAACAAAGCTGGGTTTATTCTCCGACTCCTCTGACAGAACAACCTGAGGAGACTCATCAGTTCCTGAAGAAAAACAGAAGATATCTCATTCAACATTTCTAATTTGGTTCAGTCAGGAAGGTTCAAACACAAATCTCACAGAGAGGAGGGGTTCCCTTACGAAACCCCTCCTCTCTGTGAGAGGAGAGGTTAAAGCTGCAGTACTAACTTAAAAAATAAATATGGTTTGCCAACACTGATGCTCCACTAATATTTATAAACATTTTTCACTATACATTATCCTCTGTTAGTTTTTATTTTATTTAATCTTGACCAAGTGTGCATTTCAGATTTCTATTAAATATGGGTTAATTTTTAAATGCTTTATCCAACTTATTTATTCCAAAACTTACTTGACAGAAGAGTCAAAAATATAATGTAAAACTGTATTTATAATCTATAAAGAAGATATAATACAGATCTTTATATCTGTGGCAAACAACTACCTATTTTATTAAGTGGGAAAAAATATTATCACATTTACATGTGTTTAAATTAGCCAGCTTAAGATATTAATGAAAAATGGCGTCACATTACAAGACGATAAATTGACTTAAACACAAATATAAGCAACACAGAACCTTTAATTAGTGCTTCTATATACAATCTTAACATAAATGTTATACTTATTAGCATAATCGTCGGTTAATTTTCACAACATTGACAGTTAGTGTCCTACCTTCTGCTGTCTCAGCCGATAGACTCAACATGGCGGGACTATGAAAAATGAATAACAAAACAAACGTTATAAAAGGTTTACGATACTTCCGCGACATATTTTAGTTTCTAAGACGACCAGGCGGTCAGAGAAGTGATGATGAGGCCATTATGATGAGATGTGAGAGCAGCATTTGTTTCCTAGGAACAAATATTTCGCACTGTGGCGGAACTATATAAAAGATACACCGCAAATTATAACTTCCGGGGTGCTAATGCAACGTTTGATTACGTAAAGAATGAACATTAAGAAATTCTAAACAATATTTTGCATAGATTTAAGGTTGATACACATTTTATCTTATTTTTGTCATTTACAAATAAATTTTTACTTTTTTTAACTTTATATTTTAACTTAACTTTCTTGAATATTGTCAATAATGATCATTTTTACGGTTATTTCTATATTATTATGTAACGTCTCCTTAATCCTCTATTATTTTTTTTAGTTTTATTTGCTGATATTACGTATTGTGTTGTGTAGGAGATCTTTTTATGTTTTTATTCAGACTAAAGTATATTTTAGGGCTCATGGGGGAACAAAAACTAACATGTGCTTCCAGATTACTTTAGTAGAGCTTTTTCTTCTTTCATTGCTTTCAAATTACTTCCAGAATAATTTCATTTTTTTCGATTAGGCCTGCAAATAAAATGATCAAACCCATTGTTTTAAGGTTAAATTTCATAAAAGCTTTAAAGAAAAATCTTTAACAATATAGTGGAAGCTCTTTTTTCTTTTAGATGCAAAAGAACATGATGTTCTTTGTGAAGGAATGAAAAGGTTTAAATGTACAATAAAACTTAACTTAAACTCAGGTAAAAGGGAAGTGGGAAGTTTTTGTGCAACAGATCTATAACAAATTACCTTCCAAGAACAAAGTATGACTTTATAAATCAACTGAGGATAACCATCCACTCCCAGTGAATTTATAATGAAGGAATACTTGTTTTTTTGTACAAAAAACATGTACAAAATGTTTTTTTGTAAATTTTTTAAATGAACAAAAGAACAACTTAAAATCAGGTAAATGTTGGCTAAAACATCTAAACTATTTTAGATGTTTTTATTTCATTTTTTACCTTAATAGTTAATGAAGTGACATTAACGTTAATCCATCATATCATTACATAGTACTTAAATATTACTACAGGAGTTAACATCTATAAATGTCTTTATATTGACATACACTGTGAAAAAAAGGCTTTTCAGACACTGAACAACAAACACTACAGTCAGAAAAGCAAAACAGTCAGAAAAACAAAGAAAAAATGACTGAAGTGTTGTTTTTTTATTTATTACACAGCTTTTCAACATTTCACAACAATCATGCAGGAAGAGTATGAGAATCTGTACAAAGCTTTACAAGCTTTGCCAATCACACAGGAATGACTGGGCTTCACATTTTCTCCAAAACACAAACGTGAGATAAAGCTGCAGGCGGAGAGACACAAAACGGTAACAGAGATTAAACTATTGATAACTGGGATCCTTGGTTTGCAATGTCTTGCTTCAAATAATAATAATCACAAATTGTTTAGGTATTCTTTCTCCTCCTTTCAAACAAACAGTGGATCTCAGGCCTAATATTAGCTGACACAATGAGGTAAAGTTTTTCTAAATTCATACCAGCATCTATCTTTTTAACAAAAATTAGCTTCAGTTTAATATCTAAATCCCAGAAGATAATTAAGATACAATATATGAATCAAATTTTCACTCTATTCTCATTTTTACCAGCAGTTTTTATAGAAACTTGGAACCAGTTCTTGGGATTATTTATTCCATAGTTTTAAGCTAAATAAATGTTAGCTTTTATTCTTAGAATTTCACAACAGATTAATGATCAGATTGTCACAAAGACAACACAAATAATGATAACTCTTATTAATGGAGAGTTATTAATGATAATTCTACGTTAATAAAAACTTTCTGCCACAGTAAAGACAGAAAATTTACATTTAATTGTTAGCGCTAATGAAATCATGCTAATGCTAGCTCCTCCTGCTAACCAGCAGGATATGAAGCTATAAATTATTTAAAAAAAATAATAATAATATTGTTTGGAAAAACAAAACATCAGATCCTTAAAATATTCCAGAATATTAAATATGTAAGTTTTACAGTATGGATGGACTCATTGGCCTTATTTTAACAGAATCTTGTAAAGACAAAGTTAATATAAAAACAGTCAATATTTATGACAAAAGTAAAGACTAAAACTCTCATTTAACAATTTAGATAAAAATTAAACTAAAAAAGCGGAAATTAATTTTTTTTATCTTATGGAGGTTAAATATTAAAGTGTTAAAAATAAAACACAAATCTGAGATCTTTAGAAATTTGAAATTGTGATAATATACACAGAAATACAAAGCAGAGAAATCTTTAGTGTTTTATTATTTTAACATAAATTATTTTAGTTTAATTGTTGTTAACGATTCTTTCTCAAATTAACGTGCCATGTCAGTGTAAAAAAACCTCCTAATTAACCATTTTACTTGGGAAAAAGAAATGCCTTTTCAGGGCCGATGTGTGACTGTGACGGTGCAGCAGGACTTTATGCTAACCCAGCACAAGCTTCACTGTAAAGTGAAAACATTAAATCTAACAATAACACAGTCAGAATATTTTAGTTTATACCTTTGAAGCCATCATGACAGTTTGAAAGAAAAAAAATCTGATTTAAATCAGGAAATTGGATTTTTAGTGTTTGGTGTCAAAAAGGAATCTGTGTTTATTATCCACATACAAAACCTTAGAGATTTAAATTGCCTAAAATCTAGATAGAAAGTGTACATTATTATTTTGTGTTTTGTTTCACCACAAATTATATTTATTTTTAATAATGCTATTCAAACCAAACTCATGCTAGCTTCCTTAGCTAGCTGTGGTGGTGTAAGCTGTTTTCTGATTTTGGGTAAATTAAATGAACCTCACAGGGACAGCGCTACATTTCTAAACATTTTCAGGAAATCAGGACAAATCTTTCAGTTTCACATTTCTGAAGAACTTCAGGAAATTAGCCTGAAGATTAAGACATAAGGACAAAGTGTAAATATAAAGACAGCTGATAAGTTTAACAATAAAGACTACAACTAGCATTCCTGTTGCCATCCTGACACGTACTTTGAATAAAAAATGATTTAAACCAAAGTGTATCTGTTAAACAGATAAAATGTGATACAAAGAGATTTTTTCTTTCACAGCATAACAGATTAATAGAAAAATCAGACATAAAGCAGCTGATATGAAAGCCTTTTCATTTTAGCATCTAATGCAACAAGTTTTACTTCACCCATGTTTTGTTTATATTGTTTGTTATTTACATTTTAATGTTGAATCGAACCTTTTGAGATGCTGCGTTCTTTGGTAAAGAAGAGTTAAAAAGTCTTTTTCAGAACATTTGTTCACACTGCACAGATAATCCAAACATTTCATAAAACGCACACAAGTTAAAAGACCAGAAAAGTAAAAAGCAAAGAATGCATACAGTAAATTATTGCACCAAATTGATCAATTTTAAATGGTTTCCAAGAAGAGCAACTTAACGAAGTTGAACTAAACTTGGACTAGGCCATATTTCTGGATGGGGCTTCATAAAAACATTAGTTTTACATAAAGTTTGATTTCAAGAGCTTAAAGGCTTATGATGAAACTAGAAACACACAAAAATAAATAAAACAAATACATATAAAGCTGGAGCTTATGTCGCACTGACAAAACAAACAAACCAGAGTTTATCTTGTAAAAATTAAAATGCCAATACATAATTACTAGGCTCCCAGACAGAAAGGTGAAAGAATCTTTCTATATAATATAATCATAATGTGATAGTCATGTTTCTACTCGCTGATACTTTGTTGGAACAATTAGTCAGAAACAAACAAATAAGAAACATGGATTCATATTTACTCCTCAGATATTTTCTGATTTCAAAAACCATCTTGTTTATCTACAGTTATTAATAATGAGGTAATGTTTATCATACATTGAGATATAATTACACGTGGATAATGTGTAGAAAAGTATTGCCTTAAAAAGAAAATCTACAAAATGCGTCTGTAATGAAACATAAGTGGAACGATCCATCGTTTGGGAAAACCACTGAGGAATTTTTAAAAATGCAGAATTTCACCAAGAAAACAGAAATGAACTAATTAAGTTTAAAAGGACAGATTGAATTCTGCAGGATGAACAATTATCCAAATCTTTGCAACATTCCTGTGAGAAACACTGAAAGAGAAAACACTTTTTTGTTTTGTATTCATAACAAAAGCAAACATTACAAGACAGGTAACAGTCGTATTTGTCACAGCCTGCAGGCCGAGGGAGCCGTCAGACAAAGACATGCAAATAACAAAAAGATATTTTGGGAGCAACATTTTGAGTTTCGGTCAGTAGAGTCCAAATAAACCGAGTTCATCTGAGTTATGGAGTTTAAGAGTCCAAACAATTTACAGATTCATTTTCTGGGCGCAGAGACAGATCCCAGCATTCCTTCTCTTCTGCTTGGACTCTGCGTTCACATTAGCTTACAGGGTAAATACATTTCAGAAAATGAATAAACAGAGGGGTTTAAAAACATAACTTTAAAAGGATTTAAGCATCAAGTGAAAACTTTAGCAACAAAAAAACTGAGATCATCCAGGCAGAAACATGGCTTGGAGAGAGACGCTGTTTGTGAGCATAAAGTTTATCAAGTGGGAAAAATGATCTCAGTTTTTATTTTCCATGCAAACGGCTTACTAACATATTTATCAATGTCTGGAAGAGAACATAAACAAGAGCAACAAGCCTGAACACACCTGAAAGGAAACGAGATGGCATAATTATATTTGACCTTTTCATGATAAGAACAAGAACGAAACTCTAGTAACGTCACGTTTTCTTTGTTTCTCCTCCTGGGTCACATGATCAACAGCAGGATGTTACTACTGCCAGAAACCACGAAGAAGAGGAAGAAGACAGGAAGTGGTTGGAGGATGATGGTTTTTAATGACTTAATGAGTGAAAAAAACTTGTTCAAGTGAGATTTTATTTAATTATGTTTCCTATTTGATGGAAACACCATAATCATGAAATTTGCACACATTTGTAATTGAAGCACATAATGGAGAAATTAATTTTCCATTTTAAATTATGTTAAAATGCTACATATAAAGTGGAGCTGCTG